AGTGGGTGCGCCATATTCGCACATACCAAGGACGCGTCGATTCGGCAATCTTTGCCAGGAACATAGTCGCCGAGGCGCACGACCTCTGCAACGGAGAACCCAGTGGCAGCGAGATCTTTTTGAATCGAAAGAGTTGCCTAGGGATGTCCAGGTATGATCGAACACCAGTTTTGAATGAATCAGATGGTTCAATGGAATCACGAACTTCACTACATCGCCCACTCAAGCACGCCAGGGCCTCGGCGACCCTTGGACGACGACTGCGGAGCCGAGAACAAGCGACCGACCCAGTTCCCTGCGGCAGCGAATGACGCTACCCCACATAATTCGTTTGACACGGTCTACGTTTAGGAGGTCAGTTGCAGCGCAGTCCGATGCGTAGGCGGACATTCGGGGAGTGAGCTCACAGACGTACGCCAGTTTCCAGCCAAGGGCTGGAGCTTGCGAGCGTCCACTCTGCACCCCTTGTCTGGCAGTGAACTCAGACGAAACACATGTCAAGCATCCGGCAAAAGGGGCTTGTTCTTGGTGGGGTTACTAGGAGGCGGCAGACGACATTTTTGCCGGGGAACCTGCCGAATGACCTGGACGGACCACGCAAGTGCATAAAGCTTCCATCGCATGCGCGGTCGCCACCGGCATAGATCAGCGTCGACGTTCACAAGGCCAGCTCATTGGGTCATAGCTTCGGGCATGGACAACAGGGGGCCGCCATGAAGGTGAAAACTAGTTCTGTACGTGTGACGAGGACGGCGAGCATCTTCGTCTCCATATGACCACGCCTCGCGCGGATGAGTGCTCATAGGGAGAGAGACGGTCAGGCTGGGCCGAAAAAAGCTTGACCAGCATACTCCGATGTTGCGCTTGCGAAAACGGGTGATCTCTCCTCTGCCTCATCTGGTGCTGGCGCACCCAAGCTTGCAATTGCGTTGGCGAGTGCCGACGCGCAGAGCGCCGCCGCGTTGGCGAAAGCTGGCGCGCCGAAGACGCCGCCGCCAGCTCGAGCCGAGGAACGCGCCGTCCTTGACATGACGGACCGCCGTGATACTAGAGGTTCACGAGTCCGAGGGGTCGGAGGTGGCTCGCGGCGACGCCGCCCATGGGGCTGTTCATCAGTCGCCCACTGCACTGTCTGACCCTGTTCGGAGGATCATGAAGCCGTCAGATGAGGATGCAATCGCGCTGCCCGAGGCGCAGGCCAACCGAGACTTGGTTCGGGCACCCTCGAGGAGGACAGCCCCAGGTGTTGAGAGACGTCTGGCTTGTGAGGCCAGCGGGAAGAACTCAGAACGCTACGACGTCGTCTGGGGCACCTCGGGCTGCCGCGCGCGGTTCAATATCCGGGGCAAGGAAGACGCTGCCATGATTCCAAACCCGCGCCTTAGCGACCTGGACTTTTCCCGACCACTTCTTAATGCTAGGCGGGCCTGGGACACAAGCGCGGGCGCGCGCGTTTCCCGCCAACGTGCTTGGGTCGCGGGAATCATAGGCCGTAGGCCATGAAGCTGTTCGTTGGGGTGTCACTGTCCGGGGGCCTCTTGAGGGCCTTGGGGGGCCTCTTAGGGGCCGTTGTGAAGCCTCTTGGGGCATCTCGCGGGCCTCTGGGGAGTCTGTTGGGGCGGAAAACTCGGATTGTCTGTTCGTGTTCCTCCTCTTGAGCCCTTTTTGGGGCTGTCTTTGGGCCCTCTTGGGCCGTCCTGGGCGCCTCTGAGGCAGTTATGGAGCCTTGTTGGGCCGTCTGGGGGCCTCCTTGGGGGCCTTTTGGGGCGGTTTTGGGGGCCTTTGGGGCCGCCTCGGAACGTCGGAAGCTCGGAAAATCGAGGACACCAACAAAAAGGGAAACACTCAATGAGTTTGGCCTTTCGGGACACTCTTGAGCAGGCTCTCGGGGCTTCCTTGTGGCGCCTCGAAGGTTTCCTGGGCCGTCGCGGGGCCGTCCTGGGCGTCTCGGGCCTATCGCGCGGCGATGTCGGGGCCCTCCTGGACTGTCTGGGCGGCCGCTCGGGCCCCTCGCGGCCCGTCTTGGGGCCCCTTTGTGGGCCCGAAACAGTCGCGCGACGCACCGCGGGGAGAGCTCCGGGAGATTGCGGCCATTTGGAGTCTGGGCGCCTCGAAGAAGCTTGCGGATTGAGGATGGAGGCTTACGAGATTAGGCTTAAGTCGGGCCTGTCCCCCTGCAGGGGGATAATCGACGAAAAAAAGAATATCCCAGTGCGACCCTACCTAGGAGTTGGAGCCCCTAGGAAAGCAGCATTAGTAGTAACGGTAAAGCTAAGTTAAAGCTAAGCTAACATTGAGCTAAAGCTAAGCTACAGCGAAGCTAAAGCTAAGCTAAAGCGAAGCTAAATCTAAGATAAAGCTAAGCTACAGCTAAGCTAAAGCCAAGCTACAGCTAAGCTACAGCTAAGCTAAAGCTAAGCTAAAGCTAAGCTAAATCTAAAGCTAAAGCTAAGCTAAAACTAAGCTAAAGCTAAGCTGAAGCTTAAGAACCCTTCTAGGCAGAGCCTAGGTAGGGAACACATAAGCTTAGATGAAATAAGCTAAGCTAAGATGGGATAAGCAACGCTAAGCTACGGGGACGTAACTGGGGGAACCGCGGGGCGGATACTGGGGGAACCGCCCGGGGCGGTTTACACAGCCCGGCCCTTTAAGCCCATAGAGTAAGAACCCTTCTAGGCAGAGCCTAGGTAGAGAAATACCCTAAAAATACCCCCAAACAGGTCAAACAATACTCAAAAAATAGTCCCCGCACTATTTTTGGTGTATTTTTTATGTTTCGTCGAACATCCCCCTGTAGGGGGACAGGCCCGATTTAAGATTAGGCCAAGGACCTGAGGGCACTACAACTCGGGCCTCATGGGTACGGCGGCGGATGTTTTATTGCAAGCAGGTTTGCCTAGAAGATGCTGAATGCCATCCCTGGCGCATGGCTTCCTCTGCTATCCGCACGGCTTCGTCCAAACGATCCGCTTGGTTTCCTCTGCACCCCGCGTGGCTTCGTCAGCTACAATGGAGTAGGGCGGAATAGGGTATAGGAGGGTCTATGAGAGTAGGGCCGAGTCGAGCATGAGCATCTTACATAGGAATAGGATATAGCAGGAGTAGAGCATGAGTAGAGTCTACCCGTATGGCTCCGTCTGCTGGTGCAGGGTAAAAAGAGATGGTATCTAACTAGAGACGAGTAGGCATAGTTATCAGAGCAGGTGTAGAGTAGAGTAGGAGTAGTGTAGAGTAGGGTTCGCCAAACTATCCGCATGACCTCTTCTGCTATCCTCATGTATTCGTTTAAACTGCCCGAGTGACTTGCCCTCTACTTGCATGGCTTCGCCCAAACGATCCGCATGGCTTCCTCTGCAGTCCGCATGGCTTCGTCTGCTAGAGTGGAGTAGAGCGGCGCAGAATAGAGGACAGTATATGAGAGTAGAGTCGAGCCGAGTAGGAGTAGAGTAGGGGTATATTATAGTTAGGGGTAGAGTACGGGTCGAGTATATCCGTATGGCTTTGTCAGCTGGAGTAGAGTAGACGATTGTATGTATACATAGAGAAGTTGAGTAGTATAGCAGAGCAGGTGTAGGGTGGAGTAGAGTAGAACAGAGTAGGTAGAGTGGAGAAGGGTAGACTAGAGTAGTAGAACAAATGGCAGAATAGAACAAGAGCAGAGTAGGTCAGCGCTTGTCAACATATCCGCATGGCCTCGTCTGCTATCCGCATGTCTTCTTCCACGGTCTCCGCATGTCGTTCTCTGCTATCTGCATGGTTTCGTCCAACCTGTCCGCATGGCATCCTCTGCAATCCGCTTGGCGATTTCTGCTAGAGTAGGATAGAGTCGAGGAGAGTATATGAGACTATAGTGGAGCAGGAGTATAGCAGAGTAGAATTAGGAAAACGAGTAGAGTCAAGTTATCCAGGTCGAGCGAGTCAGGGGGCCCCGCCTACTCCAATGGACTCCAACCCTCCTTTCCGCAAAATTTGATGCAACTGTGACTCAACAATTTTGGGATCGGATTGCGCTCCCGCCTCGCAAGCGGAAGGTGCTCGCGCGCGGCGCCGGTTCTGACGACTTGGCGCAGAGAAAATTGCGCGGGCCGCGCAGGGGCGGGAGCGGCGCAATGTCCAAGGGGTGCGGCGAAGGCGAAGCATCCGCCACTCTGTGACATGCACTGCCACCCGCATTCAAGCTGCGCGGCGCTTGGGCGAGGTCGGCATTTCGCCCGCTCTCGCGCGGCCCCGCTGCCGTCGTCGCTGTCGTGTGCTTCCGGCGAACGAGCCGTGTGCCGCGCCCGCACTGGAGCGCCACTTCCATGGAAGCGCGCATGGAACCCGGGCGCGAGGGCGACGAGTCGCCCCTTCGCGCGGGCCCCCCGGAAAACCTGGCGAGCGACAAAGGGGCGCCGCGTCGAGGCGGGAGCGCCCCTTTCGTGCGAATTCTGCGCGGTGCCGAGACGAGATCGACGTGTTTGTCCGCTCGCCCGTCGACGAAAACGCGTTCGGAGTCATCGCGCCTCGCCCAGTCGGAAATGCAATGTTCTACAACACTGAGCGCGGCGCTGAGGCGAGAGCGACATGTCGGGACCACTCGGATTGGGTTGCCATCGGCTCGCCAGGTGGCGGAGTGGTTGTATATTCCAATAAGGAATAGAGATACAGTAGAGCAGAACCAGAGTAGAGTAGGTTCGGGTAGGGCAGGGTAGAGTAGGGTAGAGTAGAGCAGAATAGAGTGGATGGTAAAGTCGGACAGCGTAGAGTAGAGTAGTATGGTTGAGTATATTCGACTAGAGCAGCGTGGAGTAGTGTAGGGTGTGGTACTGCAGGGAGCGTAGAGTAGAGTAGGGGAGCGCAGAGTATAATAGAGTAGAGTAGTAATGTAGAGTAGGGCGGAGTAGGGTAGCGTAGAGTAGACTCGACCAGAGTAGGGTAGAATAGGGTACAGTCGGGTAGGGTGGGGTAGATGTTTTTAATTGGATTCAGCGTTAGCAGGTATTGACGTTTTTCCTTCTGAGGACGTGAAGGGTGGCGTGATCGGCATGCTGGAGGTCTGCCTGTCCGACTTCGCCCGCCTGGAGACCGAGACCTCGCTGGCTGAGGAGCAGGCCCAGGCCGCGTACGAGAAGTACATGGCCGAGTCCACGGAGTCGAAGGATGTGAAGGCGGTCGAGAAGGAGCACAAGGATCCGCGGAGGAAAGGGAACGGGTACCGCTACCCTTTTCCTCGCGCTCGCCTTTTGGAGACCTCCCGAGGCGGCCTGATCGCCAAGGCTGGATGCGCTTGGGAATTCTGGTCAGAACGCCCCCCAGGAGCGGTCCCGGAGAGTTGCGGTATCGGTATGTTTGCCCCTCCAAAGGAGGGTAACAAAGCAGACGCCGAGAGCAACCTGCGCACCACCAAGAAGGAGCTCTCTCTGACGCAGCAGGAGTTGGACAAGGTTCTGAATTACTACGACAAGCTGAAGGCTGACTGCCTCGACACAGGGCTCAGCTACGAGGAGCGTGTGAAAGCGCGCGAAGAGGAAATTCAGAGCCTCCAAGAGGCGCTTAAAATCTTGCAGGGCGAGGACATTGCATGAGCGAGCCTGGGCAGCGGATTTCGAGCGTAATCGTGGCAGGCCGTTTTGGCTGTCCGCATGATTGTCATCCTCTTTCCCCTTCCCTCTTCTCCCTCCCCTCCCCTCTGGCAGCCTTTTCCCCCTTGCCTTCTCCCGCGAGGAACCCCAAATCATGTACAGACCTGACAATATAGCCCCCAACGTGCATGCGGGTAGTGTAGTGCGTAGCCATGGTCGCTCAAACCATGACAGGACGTGTTCTAGCTAGTATTGGTGATGCCCGCATCCTGCTTGCTGCTTCTGATACAAGACCAGCGTCGCTGAGTGGCACATCTACTGCATTTGTTACTCTGGGCACAGCGGCTGCTGCTAGGTGGGGGCGTGTGTCTTGTGAAGGACGCAGGGTCAGTCACGAGCATCTTCCTTTCATTCATTGGTGTGAGTGTGTCCATGACATAATGATGTTCTGCCTGCCAGCCGTTCTCCTCCTCATTCTCCCCCTTGACCGCTTTCATTTCGTCCTTCCCTCCATCCTCGTTTCCTCGTCCCTCCTCTTCTCCCCTCTCCCCCCTCCTCCCTCTCCCCATCAGCTGCCGTCCCGGCCCGAGGCTTTCGGGCGCAGGTCCAGGACTTGCGAAGCATCTCGGGAGTGCCGTTAGACGCGCCGACCCGCCACCCCACCGCGTCGGGCCGGCCGTGTCTTCATAGGCCCAGTCGGCCGCAACGTGGCGTCAACCGGAGCCATCGTGGCACCGCCGCCAGAGGGCACGGCGAGGAATCGCTATCGAGCGTCTCTAAGAGCCGCAGGTGCCCGCGAACGGGTCGACGCGCGCGCACCGTACAGTGGCGCGCCCGGGAGCGTGATCCTGGGAGTGCGAAGTGTGCCAGCGCACCGACCTTCATTCCAGCAGCACGGGCAGGCTCTGCACCCCGCCACTCCGTCACCAAACCAGATCAGGGCGCCATCTCCGGATGACGCCGAAGAGCCCGTTGCGCCGTGGCACACACAGCAGCGAACAGGCAAACCCACCTGGACAGGCTGGCAGAAGAACGGAACAGCATGGTGGCAACACAAGGAGCGCGAGGGGTGCAGGACGGCATGCGACGGGGAAGCCGCAGGAAGGCTCGCTCGGCGTCAGCACATGACCGTCGTGGAACTGAAGAGAAAACACCTCCGCTCTCCGGCCAGCTGCACCAGAAGAAGCGGAGAAACATCGTCTCAGGCTGCCGTTCCCGAAGAGCCAGGATGAATTCACATCCCACCGCGAGCAGCTGAATCTCAGCGATCTTCAGTGCATACCAGATGGGCCATCGCTCGTCAATGTTCAAGGGTCTGGAGACATAGTACGCCACCACGCTCTACATGGTCATCTGCGCGCGGGGCCCTGAGACCCGCACGCAGCAGCAGCCGCCACACATCGACCGCCCAGAAATAATAATATGATGCACAAGCGGCACATCAGCAAGCAGTCGCTCACACCAAGGCCCGTCTCGGAGACGCCCAGAAGGCAGATGACGTTTTCACTCACTGCGAGGAGATCGAGGAAGGAAGAAACTGATGATGAAGAACCAGATGCTGAGGACGTCCATTCGGAAGAAGATCGCCCGGCAGATTCAGCAAGGAAGGCGACAGCGGCGAAAGGGGCTGTCACTAAAGCCCAAGTCTGACCAGCCCGCAGCCGCGTGCACGGCCGCCGTCCAGGCCACCAGCGCGAGCCTCGCCCAGCAGGTGACCCACCTTGCCCGACACATGCCCTTAATATCCTTAATCCAGCAGCCTGGCATCGCTCGGACGTGTGCACTTTTTCTCGGCGAGAACCATCGAGGAGCATCCTTGATCATTCGGCAAAAAAACCACGCACGAAACCGAACAAAAACACAGGGAATGGACGTCCGAGCGATGGCGAGGCAGCAGATGGCGCAGGCCACCGCCCTCGCCCAACAGCCAGCGAGCCGCGAGCCGCCGTCGGCGGCCCTGTGGGGCGGGCGCCCGGACAGGGCAGGGCGCCCCGCCCGCAGGGGCAGGAGGCGCCGCTCCCGCCGCCGCCGCTGGCCCAGCTGCCTGGCCCGCCCTCTCCAGGCAGCGCGGCCGCGGCCGCCGCGGTCGAGCCTGCTGCCGCTGTCACTCAGGAGGAAAAAAAAAAGAAGATACAATGAATCGTCGACTCCCCCCAAAAATATGGGAAAAGATGGGCAGTGGGAGGGAAGACAGACACCCAGAAAGTCTGGGAAACTATGGGGAATCTTTTTATTTGTGTGTATCTATTTGTGTATCCCTGGGCCCCTTCAGTCACCGCGGCGGGCGCCGCCGCTTCGAGCGGGCGCCGGCCAGCCAACACCGGGGCCACCAAGGGAGGAAACGTCGAGGCCAGCAGCCCTTCCAAGGGTGGAGGCCCCAAAGGCGGCGGCAGGGACGGCGTGGAAGTTCCCGGGGTCATTTTCGAGAAGATCAGGCGCGCATTCCAGAAGAAGTGCAACGCCAAGGACGACGACGGCGGGGGCTCACACGCCACGGAGCCCATGGGCCTAAACGCCGCCAGCCCGCGCGGGGCGCGCCCAACGGCTGATGTCAAATTTTGACCAACTATGATCTTGCGTGCTGATGTGTGAGCTCGCCCCACGCCCCAGGGAATTCAATCCGATGAAGAGCAGTGTCCCGCCCTTCCCTGTGACCGCAGGACGCCCGAGGCCTTGCCTCCCATCCCGCGCCTGCACTGGGCCCCACCAAGCTGAGCAGTCGAAGGCCGGAATGCCAGATTGGATTTGGGCCCTGGCACGACTCCGGCATCGGTCTCCTGTGACTTCGACTCTGGCGCCAATCCGGCGCAGCCTTTGGCAAGGAGGGCCCCCCCTACATCCGGACATCTTGCAACATGCATGCAGTTAGCATCGCAGCTTTATCGGGTCTCCTACAATCCCACCCAGGAGTCAGACCATACGGGTGAGATATCTACACCGACGGCCCAGGCGGGAGGTGCAATGATTGGGGCGGGAACGCGCGTGCACCAGCGTGGGCCTGCGATGCCGTTGCATCGTCTCCAGGACACAGATGGCGAATGGGCTTTCAAGGGAGCCAGCTACGCGCTGCTGACAGCATCTGTGACAAGTCTCTCCTTCCAGCAGCCGCGGAGCTTGAAGTCGCAATTTGGGCGGCCGCCCTGCCGCCGCGCTCGCGCCCCCACCCGCCCCCCCTCCCCAGCTTACCGCGCGCGTGCGGGCCGACCGCGCGCAAGTTTTCAGGGGGCAGCGCTCGGGGCCATGCACGTTGACTTTCTGGGGCTCAAGTTGGCTCAAGGTGCAGAACGCAAGTGCCATATATGCCGAAATCCATTTCGTACATATTCACGGCGTGCCTACCGGTCCGTAGGTTCCGTATTGCATACGTGGGCATACGAAGATGAGCGACAACAGTGACAAACATAAGGGGGTTCGGGCTGGAGGTGCAACCGGCTCAACGCCTGAGAGACAGAAACCCAAGGTCGCGCGTGCACTTCAAGATGTGGGCATGTCGAGTGACGAGGGTGAGAAAACGGGCGTGTTGAAGGAGCAGCTTCCGGAGTGGTTTGTTCAATTCGCGAAGGGGCAAAACAAGAAGCTCGACAAAACCATCGGCAACATGACCGAGATGAGCACCAAGATCGATGAAATAAAGGAGAAGACGGAGGACATGGATGACAGGTTGAACGATGTGGAGGTGGAGCTAGGAAACATGAAAATAGATTTAGAAGACATGGTAACTCAAAGAAACATGAAGAGCATGATGGAGGAGGTTATGGAGAGCACGTTGAAAGAGGAGGGGATGAAGGACAACATGAAGAGGGTCATGGAGGAAATGGTGGAGGAGAGGACGAAGAAAGGGGCATCATCCATATCGGGCTCCAGACAAACACCACCAGCAGATGATTTCGCAGAATCTGCACAACGTTCGAAGCAGGTTCTCGCTTTTGGCTTTGAGGAGCGTGCGGCGGCCGCCACCATCGTATCGCAGTTGGAGGACATGGTCAAGAAACTCATGGGGAACGATCACGGCATCAGTATATCCTCCCCCATGGATCCTTCAAAGATGGGGCTCCTATCCTTTCAATCGGTGTCCAAAAAGGTGGAATTCTATAAAAAGATCCGGGACACCCCGAATGTAAGCGACATTGTGGGAGATATATTTTCCGCAACAACTTAACGAAAGAAGAACAAGAGAAGGAGAAACGATTGGGGGACCCGAAATATCACCTTTCAAAAACAAAGAATGGAACATAATTTGGCCGAAAAGCATGGTGGTCATCAAGGACGCTTTTGGGAAGGAAAGGAAGGTGGCATGGTACAACGAGCAGGGGGAATGGTGCACATCAGCATCCGCAAAAACAGTGCAAGCGGACGTGGACGCATCAATGGCGAAATGGCTGAAGAAAACGTCACCCGACCCGGACACAGAGAGCGAGTGACCAGTGGAAGCCAGGGGAGAGGGGACACAGAGGGGAAGAGGAGAAGGAGGAGAAGCAGGACACGTACTTGTTCAAGCACATTCACATGAAGGTTACACCGTCTGCAGATCAAGAGGGGGAGGGAGGGGAAAGTATTGCGACATTCCTGGTGACTTTCCGGGTCGCCAGCCTGTCGCGCCTGATACTCGGCAGGATTCTGCACCTACGGTCGAGAAGGACATTGCTATGCAGAAGGCGGTGACCAGAGACACGATTGCGATGCCGGGTATTGCACAGGATATGCATGCCACAGGAGGGGCGGAGGAAGACCACATTTATGCAGCAATGGAGCGGGACGGTGTTGTGGAGTTGAATTTTTTTATTGAAGAACGTGATGTCTATAGAAAGTGAGGCTCGTGAGCAGCTACTACTGGAGGAGCTGGACTTGGTGCGCTGGGACATCGTCGCTCTGAATGAGACGTGGCGGGAGGAGCACAGAGAGCTCTGGACCACTTCAGGACATTTATTTTTAGGCGCAGGTGGGAGACCGGACAGTCGTGGTGCTGCATGTTTACTGCACAAGCGGTGGGTCAAGGATTTCCG